TCTCTTCATGGAGCGAGGGGGCGGCGCCGCGTCAGGTGGTGTTGCACTGACACGCTCCAAGGGATGAGTGGGGTCAGGCCTTTACGAAGCTTTGTGCGCGCACCATGCGGCATACCCCACTTCACACATCGGGAGCAGCACTCTGCAGGAAGTTATGGAAGTTCAATCAGTAAAATTACAGTGTTCTAGTACGGTGTAGCAAAATGTATCACTTCTCGCGTCTCGTACTTGGCTATCGTCGTTGTAAACACTCACGTTCGCCGTCCGCGTTACGCATTGCGACGGCATTCAAAACGAGATACCGAAGAACGAGAACAAGACACTCAGCGATTCTGAGAAGTTTTAAAAGCAGTTACCTTCCTTTTGCCCTAAAATAGCAGACTTTATAGAAACCGGAAATGCCGGTGGAGACGCCACCTCGACATTTTCACATCACCGTGACGTGAAAGCTTTTGATGCTCCTACGTGGTTCCTGATCGGTGAAAATTTAGTACTTTCTCATCTGCGGGGGGCATAGACTTGGCATAAAAAGTCACAAAAAATTTCATTGGGACAATGCCGCGAAAAAAAAAAAATCACATTTTGAAATTTTTGACGTCACGCGGGGAGATTTAGGCGCGAGATTTGAAAATGAAACTTTAATCTTCAGTTTCTTTGCTAACAATGAACTTATGCTAGTGAAACACGAGGCATTGGAGTTCGCAAAGTGTAGTTTGCGGTCTAAACCAAGTCATCGTTTCTCGTTAGTGTCCCTTTAAGAAACTGTCATGCAGAAAAGCGTACTAGATTAGGAAAGAGCAGTTGTCGCGCATCCGATTCAATTACACACTAGCAGTGTATTCACAAGTATCAGCGTAGACGAGTGAAACCTTTACTGGCAATCATTCGGCGTTGTCCATGACGTTGCTACAGCTCTTAAGATACAACGAAAACGTATGCTAGCTTTTTTCGTCGCATTCATTTCTCATGTTTTCTGGTGATAATAAATTTTGAATCATACATATATGTTTTGGCGACCCCGCAAGATTCGTGTCACCGAGGTTTCAGAGCCACGTCAGTGCTTGAAAGTGCTTTAGAAAAATTGCCATGTACAGTATTGTCAGGTAACGAGTGACGTTTAAGGGGCCTTGCAACACTCTCCGAGCATGGTCAAACCTCGCCGATCCGTTGTAGAGGCTCCCAGAACACGCAAGCCAAATATTTTAGCTCAGCACACGGCCTCGAATTCACAGTAAACTCTCAAAGTCAGCTAAAAATTGCTTTCTCTTCTCTCAACGAATTACAAAACAAGCTCAAAATTCAATCCTCACAGCAGTTCTATCAGCCATTGGCAGATTTAAGCATGGCGCGCTCGGTCGTTACAGGAATCGCCGCGACTTTAAATCTGCCATTGGCAGATTTAAGCATGGCGCGCTCGGTCGTTACAGGAATCGTCCACGCGCGATCGTACTGAACAGCCGCGTATGTGAAAAAAAAAAAAGAAGAAAAAGTGCTCAAGGTCACGAGGCGAGCGCGACGTATTTTCTTTACCCATTCCATTCCTCCCTGTATAGCGTCTAGCGCTTTTGTCAGGAAGAGCGCAGAGAGAATGCAACTGCAGCGTGCGACAAATTTTTGTAACTGCCCTCGTACTGGACGGATCCTAAAAAAAAAATTGCGGCGTTGTAATAAGCTTCTTTCGCGAATCAATTCCATGGCTTCTTGAAAAAGTGTAGCAGGACCATCCAATAGATGAGACAGAATCACAGACCGGGCATCACACCATTCGAATTCTGTAATAATACTCGGGGACTTTTCTGGACAGCACCGGGGAAGCTAGAGAACCGAACCGCATGCTTTCTACCACACCGCGAAATAGTACTTTTCATTTTATATTTTGCTTTCTCGCTGAAATAAATCCTGCTTTATTGATTACGAGACTCGCTTTGACTGAATGCCTTCCTTTTCTCATTTTTTTTAAGAAAGCATGCCTACAGTCATGGAGGGTCCACGACTACAGCGTGCTAGAAGGAGCAGTGAGCTTACTCCGCTTTTCCTCTGACACAGTTGGCGTTGCATGTGAAAGGTGGCACCATGCACAGGCAACTTCAATAAAGCTTCACTTGCAGAAACCGCTCACGAGTTGCAACACGCGATTGTGTGATATTTATAACGCATTTGCGCCTATATTAAACCTCGCGGAAAAGGACGATGTAGTACCCTCCGAAATATTCGATTTCATGCCGTGTAGACTTAAGCCTTTTGTATCAAGAAGCACGCCCGCTTTATTGCTAAGCCAAAACACGCAGACATGTTTGCCGAGTTTGTGCCTTCGCTATGCTTTAATGAAATATTGCAGCTTAATTATTTTTCCCTTACTTTGGTTCTTGCACAAGAGACAGTAATTTTCCGGCGGGGGGCTATTATTAACCATCATTCGCTAAGAGACGGGAGGGGGGAAGCGCTGCAATGAAACTTTGCCCCCCACCATTTTTTCTGATGGGTAACCCTGCGCACGCATATGATTGTCCATCTCGAGTTTCTGACCTCTTCCTCTTAAGAAGGTTCCTCTGTTGCGTCGGCTTTTTACTAAGGTAGGCTGGCAGATAGGCAAGAATCGTGACAGCATCGCCGCGGAGAATGGGTCTTTCACGAGGCATCACCCACACTTCTTTTCCATCGATATGATTGTGCACATAATCTCTGAGCACATGACCCAACTGCAAGCAGAGCTCGTGCACTGCACTGGTTTCTTCTGGGGGAGTTGTCTGCTCTGACAGGTTCTTTGCGCATTTTTTTTTTACGCCTGTTCCGATTTTTCGGGACGACAAACAACGACAAATTCGACTCGCTCTTCACGTACACGTAGTGCGCTTGGCGCTTACAGGCATGGCACTGGTTTTTCTGATGTCGCGGCGAGGGTCAGGCACAAAAAGACACACTAATTTGATGCATGCGGCATACGGCTAAACGCTGCCGAAAAAGAAAAACTGCGCAATGAAACGTAGCTTGACAACTGCTGTTTCTCTTTCAGCCGCAACACTCCTGCTACATTTTGGGAACCAAACCACCACATACATCCACCCCTAGAGTGAGAGCCTACTGCCCTCTTCTAGTATATTGTAGCATGATCTTTTGAGCACATCCATCTTCCAAATTAAACATGGTGTCAATGACGTAGTTTGCCAGGGCGCGATCACATGCGGGCTGTTTAGTTCACAAAGTAAAATATACCCGTAATAGGGCACCGAAATGTACAGTGAACCATCTAAATGTTTCTCTCACCGACATTTTCGTCTATACGGCTTTTTGAACGAGTCAACAATGCTAGCGAGCACAACCGAAATCATCCGCAAACTGCCGTACTACCTGAGAAGCAGAGCGAATTTACAAGAGCTCTGGGTCCCTAGCCTCGGCTCTAATAAGCTGTCGCCTATATCATAGCACGCGGTTGAACATTGCCAACACTGAACCATTATCAGCCGCTGCACCAAGTGAGCAGCAACTTGCATTACCTCTCAAGCTACTACAAAATTGATAAAAGTCACACAGAATCGCTTTTGCATTAGACTTGTCTTAGATGACATAACAGATCGTGGAGAGTACTGGATAGAGCTTTGTCAATCTGCTTTCTAGTGGCGTTTACTCCTACGTGCCAGTAACATGTAAACATTCTTGTTCGAAATAAAGCAAACTATTTTTACATTTGTAGAAAGCTGGGCAGCTTGGAAGCTTGTTAAGGAGAGTGCATTTGCTTAGGCCGCTCACTTTGCCTGGGCTGCAGCTAATGGGGAAGCTATTTGGAAGTTCTCCAATTAGAAATTAACATGAGCCCTTTTGAAAAGCCGGTCGCCAGAGAACACACAGAAGCTATACAAAAGCTTTGATGAGAGCGTGGCTGCGCCTACAGCGGTACACTCACTCCCAGAGACAACATAATTTGTTTTGAGCTCGCAAGGCACGCATCGCTAGCATGGCAAGCAGTGGCTGTAGGACATTACGATGCGAAAAAGCGCCTGTTTACGCTGCACCCACTTATAAGAAGTCATCTGGGTACCACTGCGCCGTCTTGGGATGGGACAACCAGCGCAAGAGGAAGAGATTGCTGAGCACTGCCTGTGAAGTTCACAGCGCAGTGCGGGAATCGTGCCGGTGCGGCCTTTTCACCCTTCAACGATTCCCATCCGCATCAAAAAGCGCCGATCGAGTTTCGTCGCTATGTATAAATGCCATAAACAGAAAAGACTATGAGCCTAGTAAATACGCACAAGTACACTTACTGTGTGTAGGCAAGTGCGACATGAACTACCGCGCTTAAAATAAGTGTTATAGGCACCATTGCACAGTCTTTAGATGCGAAAACAACTAGCACAAGAGTGTAAGATATTAGAACTCGCTCAGACACTCAAAACTGTCTGTGAAGATGACAACATGATGCAGCAAATCGTGCCGGTTCGCTTGTTCTTGTTGGCACTTTCGCACCGCAAGTGTGTTTTGAAAGCCCGGCATGACTGGCGAATGATAGACACATGCGGTACATGAGCGTAAGTTGGAGCAAGATTCTAGCGCTATGCTGATGTTACAGCCGGAATATAGTTGTGAAGTTTCGCGTTTTATTTGCGGGAGCGTATGCTCGCGTGGCAGTGCAGGATGCTGCTTCGTCGCACTTGCAACAGATGGCTTGACGTGTTTTTCAATATGGCAGCATGCACTGAGCTCGCTGTGTTCTGGTGCATACACTGGTAAGAAAGGGAGCAGCTAGAGTAGACTTCTCAGTGCCTACTGCATTTGCTTGAGAGCTCCCATGCTGAAACAAGCACAATGAAACCTGGCAGACTGTCACTTGAGTGTGCTGGTTTACGAGCCACTCCTTTTGTTCCAGTAGGTACGAAGCTTCAAGATGCCATTTCATAGCAGTAACCTGGCCTTGCCAAATGCCAGATCTTGAGCCAAGCACTATCTGCTGCTGGAGACAAAATGCACGGTAGTCCTAACATACTAGTGCTAAAAGAGGCACGTTATTCCACAAGCATAGCATTTACTTTTATTTCCTCAACCCAGCCGATGAAGAGGGAAGGAAAAATGCGGACATACTCTGTTGTACCAAAGACATCTGCATCTCGTGGATACACACCGCAGCATCAAGCGAAATCATTACATTAAGAAGTGTGATTATTTCTTCAATTAAAAAGTTATGTACACTGCTCCTCTACTAGACAACTACAAACCTTCAGTAGCTTTTTTTTTCCCCACGCTCACTTTTTCCTAGAAAAAGGGAGCAAACTTTGCACAACACTTGCCCACAGGCAAGAATCCAAGGCCCAAGATGATGCATCGTTTGCAGAAGACCATGGAGAAAAAGAAAAAAAGAAGTCACGCATTCATTGCAATTGCACAAAAAATAAAAAGCAACAAAAACTACTCAGGTATGTACATGCCTCACGAGTACGTGCATAATGTTGCACACAGTGCACACCAGGGAAAAAAAAAAATCAGAATAGAAGTCCATTTGTATTTCTAATTAAAAAAAGAAAAAAAAGGCCACTATGTTTCAAACACAACATTGTCAGCTGCTAGTGTCGTGGTTGTTTTTTGATCGGCAGTATGCAAGAGTCCCACATGCAGGGCTAAAGCTACACACTCGCGCTACAGCAGAGTGCCACAGCGTAGGCCTACTAGGCAGCCAGCCAGCCAACATAGCACCTATGGTAAACTAAGGCCAGTTGCCAAAAGAAAAAGTAACACAAGCCTGATTGTATATTTACAGCCTGCTCAAGAGAAGCTAAGGACTGCTCACATTCCCAAGCACAGCCACAGGCATGCCAGCGGTACACGCAAGTCGCCAAAAACCGGCACGACGTCGAGTAATAAATACGGAGCAACTTCTGGGTCCGAGAAACGAGGCAACCACAGTATGTATTGTCGGTAAAAAAAAAATCGCCTCGGAATTTCGGCTGTGTGTGTATGGCATGTGTTGCTGCTTTGTTGAGAACACACATGCTACTTTTCCTGGGATGGCAGCGATCTCACAGGCCGCGGAAAGACATCTCATGGCACGCACAAAGAAACAAATTAAAGCCTAAACGTGCTTAAAGAGCGAGGTGTTCGAAAGGTTCCTACGTGATAGCGAAATGAAGACATTGCAGGCAAGAAGGAAGAGAAAAAAAAATTTCTAGAAGCAACTGCGCATGAATGTTGTAAAAGAAAGAGAACACAGCTAGGTAAGAACTAGAAGATTGTGTGAGAGAGAGGGAGGTAAGGAGGAGAGCACTTTCTTAGCAAGAGTCACTACGCCAACGACGCTGCGAGCGTGAAGAGGAAGGTGCACAGGCATCATCGATGACGTCACAGTCAGCATTTTTTTTTCTCTACGTTTAGTCAGAGACTTCGTCTCCGTCTTCTTGCTGCAGATGGGCGTAGATATTTCGGCTTGTGTACACCTGCGCAGAGACAGGTAAAAGACGACGAGATGTTTACTATTAATTTCATTCGCCCTTCCCTCCAAATACTATGCATTTCACGCATTTGATCCTCACTTTCTAGTTGCACTTTCAAAAGCATTGGAACAGGGACAACTCAATGTTCTGGAGCCTTCCTTTGGCCAAGCCTCTGAAAGTACGACCCGATAAGTAGAGATCGATGACAGTTCACCATCAAGGATAGTTTCTTATGACATAAAAGTGACACCAAAGAGAAAAACAAACTATCTCTCTTAAATATTAGTACATGCAATTGCACAACATTTAGAGGCATCACTGTTGATGTGAAAAAATGCTTGGTAATCTGGAAAAACTGCTTAAAGGCCGTTTCACACGACACAAAAAGTAGCGATTTTCAGTCTGCAAATTCGCTTGTAGCAAAAAATGCCAGTTTGCCCCCGCCGCAGCAGTTCACGGTGATGTTGGAAATTTTGGCTCTGATAGCAGCTATTTCTGTTCAGGACCCGTCGAAATAGGTCCGAGATTGCCAAGCTGTCAAAATTGCGTCGACGTGTTTGTTTTGATAATGGCTGTTGCGCGTTTCAAAGTGTAGTTAGATTGAGAAGTGTTCTCAAATGACGAAACACAAGTGCTCTTCGTTACCATTCATGGAAAATTAATAATATAACGCAGATTGTTCCATTATATTTGAAAAATTCTACAGTGTCTGCCACAACGAACGGTGGCAAGATATGTCGCTCACTGCTCCAGTCGCGAAGTGAAAATCGCGGACCATTTGTGGTTTATGTGAAATGAAATCGCCATTAGCTGCCATTGCGAACGCAGTGACTGGAGCGAAAGGAACAATTTTTTTGTTGCAATCGCGGCATGTGAAACAGCCTTAACGGGGGACATGCGTCTGAGAAGCTACCTCATCTATTATTGAATCAAATGCGACAAGAGTTTATAGGCTTACGCAGTTTGTTCTCCCGATCCTAAAATGATATTTTTTTGTGTAGCTTCATTAGTTCATTATATAATCAAGATAACAATCCCCAAAGTTAGTACTACAATAGAAAAATAACCACAAGTCAAAAATTTACAAATGACAGAGGAATCAACAGTAGAAAGCACAAGCCACACTGCATTGGGAGCACTTTTTTGATTGGGTCAATACTCACTCGTGCACCATGGCGTGTAGCAGGTGTGCATGCGCTGATAAAGACTCAGAAACGCATTAAACACGCTAGAAACGAACAATTACACGCTTTCGCAGGCCACGGCGTGCAAGCTCCCAATGCAGATGCTTGTGAGATCTATGGTACCATGTGACTACAGCGCCGCCGCTACTGTCACCAGCGGGAGAATCAGCAGAGATGCGGCGCGGCTGCCTCATTCATTCCACTACCTCCTTCTAGTACACTGCACCTAGGGTGCACTACTGACTGCAACACAGCTCGATCGGGATCAAATTTATTTATCATTACTCGCTTTCCTTAGCAGTTCACAGAGGGGCCATTCGTGGTAAATAAATTTGATCCCGATCACGCATGATCGCGATATATGTGACCATATGGCACTGAAAGAAAAGGTACTTCTAGTTACAAGCAGCAACTAACAAACAGCACTCACTACTTCTTTGCCGTCGTCGCTCTTGTGGCCGGAAGTGAGCTCTTGTTTGGAAAACGGCCTCTCGCCGCCGTTACGTGTAGAGGGGCCATCCCTTGGCCCGCTGCCACCGGAGTCTGGTCGTCGAATGCGGTCGGCTGGAGGTCGCTTTGCCAAGTCTCCTGGTTCGCCTAACACGTAACAACAGGACAAACCACTAAGTACAATCGAACCCTCATAATATATCGCGACAGTCAGCCTTGCCCGAAAAACGGGTACAAACTGCCTGAATAAGCCCACACGGCAGGACCTTCTGCCTCTGCAATGAGAGTAGATTAAATTATTGTTGCCAGTGGTAGCTAATGGCAGTAATAATTAGTTGGAGGTCCGAGCAAATCTTCATTCTCAGGGGAGACACGGGCCTTGAAGGCCAAAAAATTTCCGAAAAATTGATTTTCTGAAGTACTTTTTAAAATAATATATAGTGCCTGACGAAGGTGTTTCTTAAATGGTATTGCTATGTAATGTGTATTAGTTGAGTGATTCAGTCTCAAAGTCAGTTTCGTGACTATTTGCCCTGGAAAAACCATCTCAAAAACGGTCATATTCGCCGCCGCGGCGACTGAGAACTACTCCAAGTAGCGCGTCCAGTTTGGTCTCATCTGAAAGCCGTATTCTTTTGTCTGTTCCTAGCGGAAGAACGCTTTTCGTCTAGCAACAACGAAGCTATCGCGAATAAAGAAAAACCAAATACTCGCACATCATTGGTGCGTTCCTATCACGTGGGGCAGTTCCCGGTTTCCTATTGGATGTCAAGGGATTCGTCTGCTATACAGCGGTATGCAATCCACCATTTTGTAAAAGGCTTAAGCGACGGGAGAGCGATCGGTGCGATGGCAGGCGGTCATCGAGAGTTACATACTGTTCATGTGTACGAAAAGAAGCGAGAACAGTGTTTGAGAGCATGCAGCGTCTTACCAGCGAAACCCTCTGTCGCCGAGAACACGGAAAAAAGCTGGCTGTGCTATCACGGATGCGATAGCCGGGACCAACGATCTTGCGCGAAATCTGCGCGTTGGCACTTCCCTGGTTTTCGACCCTGAAAAAGTGGCCCTTGCGTGTCGTGCAAAGGACATTCAAAGGGACCTTTCGTCGACGTCAGCCTCACAACGCGAGCGGTCTGTTTTTTGAGTCTCGGAAGCGACCGCAACTCCTTCCAAACTGTTCACCGTCGTAAGCTGCTTTAGTGTATGAAGTGCGGTGTGTGTGGCGAACTGGCAGCATTTCCGAGAAAGATCAGCAATGTGGCATCGCCACAACACTTGTGCTGACGTGTGATGAGTGCAGAGAACCAGAAGTTGTACGGGGCTTGCTGGAAGCAGGGGTATGCGGCGCGCGGCCCATTTGAGATCAACGTGTTGAATGTTGCTAGAAGATGCAAAGAGGTATAAAAATTAAGTGAAAGTGGGAATGATTCCTGCTACGTAGAAGGCTGCCGCGCACGTTACTGACGACTGGGCAAGCACCGCCAGAACGCTGTATGCTAGCATCAGCTGTATGATAGCAGAACATGTTGCGTCTACTGGGCACGCTATCGACTGGGATAAAGCCTGCATCACTGCCACAGAAAGAAAGTTGTTGCCACGATTGCACATGGAATCTCTGGCCGTTCAAACTACTGCGCATACGTTGAACAGAATTACAGTTAAACCTCGTTATAACGAGACTGGCTATAACGAAATAATGCATATAACGAGCAAATCCTAATTCCCCTTGAAAGTCCCCATACAAACCAATGTATTCAAAACCTCGTTTTAACGAAGCAAAATTTGCCTGTTATGGGATATATAACGAACAAGTTTTGTTAGGAAGTAAAATTTTGAGCCGATGTCACGACAGTGCACAACGCGAATTTGAGACGGCGCTCAACGCGAGAACTGTATTTAGCAGTTCAAAACTCCCGCCACGCGCCCTCCAGCAACGCACGGAAAGCAGACGGCACGCGCTGTTTCCGGAGGAGAGTTCGCTGCACGTACGCCGCTTGGCTACAATCGACAGCGGAGCGCTCCGCGAACGTCTCACCCTTTTCTTTTCTTTTGTGTCTTCTTTATATTCGCCCTCTTCCCTTTCTCATGGCGCTGAGGCGCCCTTCCTAATCTTACATACCCCCCTCCCTTTGAGTAACCGGTTCCTAGAGGGCAGCGCAAAAGAGCGCCCCTTCCTCTTCACAGACACTTTCTCTGCAAGTGTTGTCGCTCGCTGACGTGAGCCGCGTTGCTTTTGCGTGCGTGTTTCTTCTCTTTTTCGATCGCTTCCGCCTTTTCTTTTATCGTGCTGCGCTCGTGATTCCAGCAACATGAATGCACCAGGCGGGAAGCGAAAGCGCATAACGCTACATCAAAAGGCGGCTATGATAAGAGCCGTCGAATCGGGGACCAAGAAAGGCAACGTGGCAAGAGACTTTGGCGTATCGACGAGCACACTGTCAACCATCTTGAGCAAGCAGGAGTCCATCATCGACGCCGTTGCACGTGGCGTGAAAGGAAGCGCTAAGAGGATGAGGGCACCTGCCTTTGAAGCGGTCGAAAGGGCCGTTTTTAAATGGTTCTTGGACACGCGGGCCGTGAATCTGCCGGTGAGCGGCACCTTGCTGCAAGGAAAAGCGAGGGACTTCGCCTGCATCATGGGCTATGACAACTTCGTAGCAAGTTCAGGTTGGCTCCAACGCTTCAAGGAACGCCACGACATTGTCGGGAGAGCGGTCTGCGGCGAATCGCAATCTGTCGACGAAGCAGAGGCTACCAAGTGGGCCTGCCTGAAATGCAAGCTGTGTATTTTGAAGTGCATTAAAACAGGTGCATGACTTTTTTCCTTTTCATATCGGAATGCGGTTATTTTGTTGCATACCATCGTGCGGCGGGATGCTATTTCGCCCGCTATTTTTTGGGGGGTAAGTACAGTGCATAATATTTGCGGTGATTGCCCGCTACGGCTATAACGAAATATTGGTTATAACGAGCAAATAGCGGCGGCCCTCCAATTTCGTTATAACGAGGTTTAACTGTATTGGGACACTCCCCCCTGTGTACACGCGATGTCTGCAACACGTGATGAAACATGCATAAGAAGAGCGCACTGCGCCATTTGTGGTCACTGTGAACAACGCTCCCGTGTGGAGAGCCGAAACGTCTTTTTAAGTTTTGTGTTTCACCTTGGTCAGCGTTTTTGTTGTTTTGCACTAAGCTAGCATTATTACTGCACTAATTTACACTAATAACTGTTGAATATACATGCTCACCGTGTCCCTAAACTTCTTTTCTCGTTTTCTCAAAACATTTTTCATCAAGTCTCCAGGCCATTGCTCATAGTATCTTTTGATCTAGTGGTTGGATTTCGAAAGCTATACATTGACGAGTGCAACAAGACCAAAACATTGTGGTAATTTCATTGGGAACAGTGATGTAATTAATCATATAATTAGGCAACAGTATCAGATTTATGACGAGTCTACTTGTTAAGACCATAACTCTTGAAACAATGAAGCTAAAGATACAATTATGGCTTCTCAGCACCCTCTGTTCTTTACAGAACACTGTCATATCCAATTTGCAGCAACTTTTTATGAGCAAGCTGTCTGAACAGTGGGCAGAATGCACATTTATGGAACAGTCAATATTTTAAGATCTGGAAGTGACAGATGAAAACTAATTGCATATTTGTTTTCAGCTGTGAGAAATGCATATCACAAAATGTTCAGCTCTAAATACTTACGGCCGCGTCTTTCTCGAGGCGTTAGGAATTTTACTTGCGGGGCATAATTGAAAATAGAGATGTGTCGCACACATAGTGTCGCACAAATAGTGTTGTGTCGCACACTTGCAGGGTTCTGTGCTCGCGACATGCTCCGAGGATAGCCCAAATAAATCAGATTGTGGCCAAACACGGCAGAATGAACGAGAGTTTGATGCCATAAAGTAATGCATATGCTGATGAGGATTAGAGGGCACGTCCTACCATTTACCAGACTTTCTGAATCGACGAGTGTCGAATGTACAAGATCATACTGAATGATGAGGTTTAATAGATATGTGAGCATTCCTGAAGAAAAAAAAAAATTGTGGTACGCTTGGCGACAGAAATTCTAGAAGGTTAGGACAAAAACCAGTTGCTCTGATTGGATGAGCATCAAGCTGATGTCATGTACTTACGTGAATTTCTACTGAGCACTAGATTGAAAAACAGAACAGACACACACTTTGGAATGATGAAGAAAACACAGCTCAAACAGAGATAGAACAGAAATAAATGAATTTACACAAACAGGCAGAACAACCAGTGTAGAACTAGTAATTGCTTTAGCTTGAACAAACATTAACTGGTGGAATTTCGAATACTCCCCCTACAATGTCACCAAGGTTTCTTTTGTGAAGCTAAGGACATCAATTATCACGCACACACCCAAAGCACAGGGACAGGCAACTCTTTTGCCTCAAGCAAATAGCCCTGACAGCCAGTTCTAAAAGGGGATGCTACCTTCTCAACAGTGCGCTGTTGAGAAGGTAGCAAAAAAACTGCAATTTTTCTCTCAGCAGCCTGCTCAGCATTCACACTATGTGGCGCCAAATCTGGGTACCCTTGAAATGTAGTTATGTGGGCTTGTCGGTGCATCTTCAAAACGCAGTATCTTAGCGCTGGTGAAGACTAAGACAACAAGGACGAGACACTGGCAAGCTGTTCATATATTGCTTTCCTGATTATTAGTTCTGCAACATTAGTATTGATGTAACCTCCTTCTACCGCTCATCTCAAATTGCCTTGAAAAAGAAGCTCAACCTGCAAGCCATTGAAATACTTGCAGTAGAGGAGTCAAAGTTCTGCAACATTCTCACTATGATAAATGAAAGCTTGAAGAGATGGAAAAAAAAAAGAAGACGTAGACACAGGGTGTGGCTGGAGCTGGAGTCTCAACAAGGAGACCTGTCTTCTTCAAAGCCTGGTGCCTTAGCACATGTGCGTACACACGTCATACCCTCCCCTCCTAGCCAAACAACAGAGAAGGAAGTGGTAACAGAGCAGCGAGAACGTGAACACAAGAAGAGAAGAGCGAGTTTTTTCTCGGTGTTCACGAACTTTTCCCCCTCTCACTTTCAATGTTGCAAACACTCACCTCGCACAGGTCCATCATAGCCAGCTTGAGAACCGTGCCGGCTACTTTGCGAATGCTGATCGCTGTCCTGCAAGTGAGGGACGAAGTTAATTTACAGGCTGTGTACGCAAAAGCAGCGGGCGAGTAAAGATAACAGTTGACCACAGTAAATGTGACCTGGACTAGAGTAATAAAACTGATTTGGCTATCCAGTGCGCTTGGATGCAAGAATGAAGAAAACCCGAGTGCACTGCTATCCAATTTGAGTGTAACTAACAAATCTCTTCATTACAATGAATCTCAATGATACGATTACGGTTGATACGAATTTAAGGTTGCTTCGGATGGACTACATTATATAAAATACGTTGCGATTAGGCGCGATACAAATGGGTTCCCCAGCCACCGCAGATGATATGAACGCGCGATTGAACGCTGCACGCAAACGGCGAGACGCGGCTAGTCTGTGGGAAGAAGGCCCGTACGCACTTGGCCTGCACTAGCTCGCAAACCACATGATGTAAACAACTACAGTGGAATCTCGATGATACGCATTTTTCTTTGGTCCCTGCCGAGCCCCATTACTTTGCAATGCGCTAGAGTACGTTTGTTACGTATCGATTTTCTGCTCCCGTCGTTTGATACGAATGAACGCCGCCCCACTGACGGCAGCGAAATAGAACAGCGCTCAGTCGCGCGCCGGAATGCGTGCTGCACCGCCGGTTTGGCATTTTGCCAACGGTGCCTGCCAGCAGCGCGTGGCAGGCCTCCAACATCGGCGTGCGCAATATCGGAGACCTCAGAGACTGCTTGCGCCCTTTGATTTCGGTTTAGGTTTAGAGATGGCGCTGGTCACAAACTCCTTTCTCCCTCTTTTTTTTGGGTGCGGCGGCGCGGACGCGACGACGCGGCGGACTGCGCAGACAAGTGGGGCAGTGACGCTTTTGTTGCTGTTGTGCTTTTCCTCTTTCTCTGCGTGGCGATGGACGGAGTGGCTGCAGTGCTGTGCTTCGGGCCGCGTTCTTTTTGTTTGCGCCATTTTGCCTAGTCGCAACGAGCTATGTCTCGCAAGCGAAAAGCGCTCCCCTTTAAGGAGAAATTAGACATCCTTCGAAAGGTCGATGAGGATCCTAAGAGAAAGCGGACGGAGTTGGCGAAGTAGCTAGGCCTTGCAACGTCAACGCAAAGCAAGCGAAGACCGCTCAGCACGTGAAACTTGAAGAGACTCTCCTGACTTGGTTTAAAGAAGTAACCGCAGCTGGCGTAAGTATCGATGGCAAAGTTTTGCGGGAGAAAGCCGACGAGTTTGCACTTGCTCTGCATATCGACGGATTTCAGGCCTCAGGTGGGTGGTTGCAGCGCTTTAAGACTAGGCACGTTCTCGTTTACAAAAGCTTCTGCGGCGAAGCGAAAAAAGTTGATGAGGCAGTTGTCAGCGACTGGTTAGAGAAGCTGCCGTCACTCATTGCAGAGTATGAGCCTCGTGATGTTTTTAATGCTGATGAGGCAGGTCTCTTTTTTAACCTGCAACCCGAAAAGAGCCTCTGTTTAAAAGGCGAAGCATGCAGAGGAGGCAAAAAAAGCAAAGAGCGTATTACTGTGCTCTTGTGCTGTAACGCCGACGGATCGGAAAAGCTTAAGCTGACCGTAGTCGGAAAGTTCCAAAAGCCCCGGTGCTTCAAGCGCGAGAGTCATTTGCCGTGCGTCTATCGCGCAAACAAAAAGGCGTGGATGACGGCGGCGTTGTTTGAAGAGTGTTTGTCACTCCTTGACAGGAGGATGGCTTGTAAGAATCGGAAGATTCTTCTTTTTCTTGACCAGTGCGCCGCCCACCCGAGGCAAGTAACGCTTCAGAACGTCAAACTCGTCTTTTTACCCGCAAACGCGACGACGCACCTGGAACCCCTTGACGCTGGGATTATCAAGAATGTGAAGCACCATTTTAAGAGCCTTCTTGTGCGTCGCCTACTCGCAAAAATTGACCGAAAGGACGAAGGTGACCTGAGAATAAGCCTCTTGGACGCCATCCATTTTATAGCTATGGCATGGGATGGGGCAACTCCGACTACCGTAGCGAACTGCTTCGGCAAATGCGGCTTCTTCGGGAGTCCAGAAGAGGTGCCCCCAGAGCCGGAAGATCCTACAATTGAGGACTGGGAACAGCTCAACGTCGAGTGCACATCTGATGATTTTTGCACGGCAGATGACAATCTCGCCACCTGTGGTGCGCGCACGGTCAAAGGTATTGTTGAGGCCACGTGCGGGGCTGCCGATTCCAGCGATGATGGCAACGACATAAACGTGGGCGACGGCGAAGGACCACCACCGGCGGCTGAAACGCTGCACGCGCTCGACGTTCTGAGGCGCGCTGTGGCAGCGGATGAAGTCAGCGACGACAAGTGCAGGCGTTTTTATGCTTTCGAACAAAGTCTACTAGGTGATCTGGCGAAGAAAAAGAGGCAGAAGGACATCAGACACTTTTTCATCAAGAAATAAATGCTTTTTACGTACTTGTGCCTGGATGAGTTCACGGCCGACTCTTTGTTAATTTAGCTAGTTTTATTTGTTTCGATGATACGAATTTTGGCTAATACGAATATTTTTCGTGACCCCGTGAGATTCGTATCATCGAGATTCCACTGTAACCACATATTCCACATGGTGGCAAAGGCGTCGACAATGGCTCGCGTCTGCGCAATCGTAACTACCCACGCAGCCCGACAAAGCACATGACCTTGACAAGGAAGCGTTCCCCGAAACCCTGATTTGAACTACGATTGCCGAGAACACCGGAAGTACAAGAAGGTGCAGCAGCAGCGAGTCGGCATGCCCCAATGTGTCTCGCTTTTACCCTGCCAGCTGGATCCGTGGCGCCGCTGCCGGTGCATCCGCTCATGTCGTTTCTGCTGCCGTATCTCCTGAAACGTCTATACAGGTGTAAACAGTTTCTTTTCAGTGCCTTGAATGTATACCTAGAACTCGGTACGAAGTTCAATGCTAAGAAAAAACGGGCAAAATGGAAGCGGTGTAGGCGGCGGCGGTGGCATGTATAGACGTAGGTGGCATGGCGAAAAATGCCGCCACCAGCGCCCATACTGTCGCGCTGGCCAGAACTAGGTAGTGCGGTCTCAGCAGCCAACAAGCAAACGTGCGTAGTCCCTCCTCTTTCGTTGGTGTTGAGGCGCAGTTCCCCGATCATCAAGAACCCGACAAGCCTTTATCGTCAATCCAACATCCCTTCAGAAAAGTTGGAAGCCTATCAAAAGCGAACTGCAGGTACAACGCCAAATATGTTTCAGTTCATTTTAGCGTGCTGCAACTCGCAATTTAAGTGCCAGCAGCATGAGTGAGGAAACCGCGGGACTTCATTGAGAGGCAGTGAAAGCAGGAAAATTCAAAATACTTATTTTCACCAAGAAGTAGTTGACTCCAATAAAGTTCTTGCTCAACTCCACGATCAGCTTCAACTTATTTTTGTTCATACGAATTCTGGATGATACGAATGCTTTGTAAGCTCCCTTCGAATTCGTATTGTCCAGATTCTAGTGTACTACCATGGTTGAGATGGGTGCCCAAGACTACACTCACGACTTCACCAGTTCACCATGTGATGTACTGAAGAACCCACCTCCAGATGTGTAAGCAGTGAACACCCACAAAATGATCTTTTTGAAAGGCACATTTTTTAGACTGCCTTCTATTTTCTTTGCAACACCCAGATCACTCTTAAACTTATTTTTGTCGATACCAAATGCAGCATAACCAGACTTTTATTAAGTTATGCTGTAGAGTAGTGGACGGCTTCTATACTCTGCTTATGGACAATCCCTTTGAAAGTTTAATCAGCTCGTTAAAACCAATCTTCAAGACAAAAGAAGGCCATGCGATGCGTGACACGGCATCACTCTGTGTGATTGTAGTTAAGAAATGCTACTTGCCATCACTAATCAGTGTTACAACATTTGAGTGAGAAAGCCATTTTTTTCCATACTTCAATAAAAAGGAATTCCTTATAGAAAACACTTTCGGCAACATCTACTTCAAGGTATTCTAAAACAAAACAAAAAAGAAACCAGCAAAAACCAGCATTACAGATCTGCAGCTGCACTACAACCCTCAAACAAACAAGCCCCCAACGAGGAAGCAAAGAGTTTTGCCACCATTGCTTTCTGGCAACAAGAACACTTACATTGCTGTACTGCCGTGACAGCGGTTGCCGCCCTCCGTCATCGTAAGAGTCCCGGCCAGACTCTGAGGAACGCCGCGATCGCCCAGACCCCGAGCCGACACTAGAGCGCCTCACCCGGTCGTCCTTGCGACTGAAAGAAAAGGCAAATAAAAGGAGTATACGAGCGAGTGAGCCTCATGCTGTACAAATAGCCTGCCCACAGATTATTAATAACAAGCACAGTGAAGTTATGGCAATGTGAACAATATTCATAAAGTAGGATAGATCAACTTTGTAGTTGCTGCCTGATACTGAATCTGAACCCACTCCTCATTAACATTGTGGAAGTGCCATCAAAATGCCTTAGTGATAACTATGCTGTATTAAAAAATAATGATAAAAAGTGAACCTGGCAGAGCTGCTGTTACAAAAGAAAACCTGCTTTTATATGCCAAATGTGATAAATATTTGTTCGCTATGCCAGAAATGCCCGAGAATGACCATTTCCTGCCGAGTCCAATGTAGAGGGAGCTGCACTGTTACATCACAAGTGTATAATAGTCCTTGTAGAATACATTTTTAATTGGCACCCCGTGACCACAAAAAAGAGTGGCCATACTAACTGTTAAGTAGCTTGACAATGGTATTAGTCTATGAAGTGACATTAACCCGATTTTGCCTTCCACCAGCAAAAACAAGGCCTTTGACATTTGAATACATTATTTATAAAACAAATACTGCAGCACTAGACTAGCCCAGAATTTAATTAAAAAATAACAAGACAGAATGTCGCCCAGTGCTCCCAAATTAAAGCGTGACAATTTAGGGTTAAAGGAGAACTCCGGTGCGTTTTCGACCATACTGAGATACAGTCGCCGACCGTTTTTTCAGACTCCAAATATTTGGACTTCTTGGATATTTCGTACTTCAAAAGTGCACTGTCAGGGTTCCCATAGGGATAATGCATTTTTCTGACCGATTTTTCGGATGAATTCGCCCCACAAAGTTGGATTTTTTGGACTAAATCGTTTGTTTCGAGCCGCTCCATGAACCTGTATGGACACCCCCATGTTGGATTTTCTGCTGGCTTGACTAAGCTTAGTAGCTTAATTTTAAAATGGCTTTCCTGCCGCCAAGATTGGAAAGCAAACGTCATATTTCAGGTTTCGGAGGCCGTGTCTGCTATAAAAAACGTGGCACGGGACCATTTTCTCGTCTTCGGTCAGCCGAAGAGGTCAGCAGTGTCGTCATCGCACCGTACAGGGAGGAGGCGGAGCTGCGCAGTAGTGGAGTGAATGTGCTTGCCACAATGCCATTAGGGAGTTTAAGAATAGCGCACTGCGAGCCCTTGCGATGCGGCCGCTGCCACTGAGCATGCGCCGTTACGCGTGCCGCCGTTTGCGACCTACCCGCAGGAAATCCAAAATAGTGTGCGGCGATCGCGGCCCGCGAAGTGTTGTGTGTAGCTTCCGTGCATTTGATATTGCGGTCAGGGCGAATCTCCCTAGACCTTTCCCTAGGGGGAGCAAACGCTATTCTAGATGATAGTTATAGCGCGAGAACAGAACAACGACGCAGAGACAAGAAGGACACGAGCGCTAACTTCCTACAGTGAAACCTCGTTAAACCGTAGTTGGCCGGAGCTTGGAAAAAGTACGTACTAAACGGTAGTACTGCTTAACCGAAATAGCGTCAGGTCGCTAACTTACCTGTCAAAAAAAGAAACCTTCAGGGAGTGCGATGAAAAAAAAAAAAAAAGTGCAGTAATTTATTAACTTCACGTGACAAAGTCTGTAATCTTCATTTGACGACGCGGCGGCTTAGCAGCAACGACAGCGGCCTCAAACTCACTTATGCTGTGAGCCAGCTTTTCCGCCAGCCCCCTCTTCTCGGCAAATATCCGCATGACGCTGACGCAATGCGCAGCTTCGGCCACTGTCAGACCTGGATCACCTGTGTTGTCACTTTGCATGTCGTCCTCATCACTATCATTTGGCGACACTTCAACAACCGAGGCAACAATGGCTTCGTCGGACATGTCCGGAGATGTCTGCGTCTCTGAAGTCGGGGAAGGAAATGCCTTCCGTAACGCCCAGCCGCTCCAGCACTTCAGCTAGCAGAGTTTTGCAAGCTTCGTCTACGATGTCCGAAGTCTGGTCGATGGTGTCATTGGCGTCACCTGCGTCGCCCGCACACACACTGAAGCCAGCACGCTTGAAACAATTTTGAACTGTCGTTGCTTCAACCTGCCGCCACAAGTATTCGAGCAGGTGAATCGCGCCAGTTAGGTTGATGGAGAATAATTTGCCACATGCAATGGCGAGAAGAAATCTGCGCAGCAGATTCTTCTTGTAGAGCTGTTTTACAGCTCGAATGATGCCTTGGTCCAACGGCTGGGCAATCGCTGTTGTGTTTGGTGGCAGAAACGCCAACTTCACAGCCGTCAGGTTGTCCAGGGCGACGTGCACCGAAGCGTTGTCTAAAATAATAACAACTCTTCTGTTCTTAGACGCAAAACGACGATCGATGAGGCGCACGTACTCCTCAAAGAGTTTTGCCATCATTCATGCTTTGGTGTTGCTGCGATAGATGACCCCTGATGGCAAATGGGCGCCTTTGAAACATTTAGGCTTCGCCGACTTTCCAATCACTAGGAGCGGAGTTTTGTCGGTTCCACTCACATTTACGCAAAACGCCACTGATATTCTGTCTTTTGCATGCTTGCCACCGGTGCACGTCTCGCCTTTGAACGCGAGCGTTTTGTCTGGTAGCAGCTTAAAGAATAGCGCCGATTCATCCATATTAAAGATGTCATCAAGTGCGTAGTCTTCCAAGAGGTTCTTCAGCTGACCATTTTGCCACTGCTCCGCGCCATCCACGTCAGCAGCAGCATCTTCTCCCGAAACAGTCCTGATGGTAATGCCGTGCCTCACCTTAAGGGGAGACGCGGGTCGAAAAGTCGCGGTTTTCCGGAAAATTTTCGCTTTTTTTTTCCGGCTGTATTGGCATCCTTGGACTATATAATCTATTACTTCTGAAAATATCAAGCTGAAATTCGCACGAGAAATTATCAAAAAATGCTTCCAAGTGGGCAGCGGTGACGCGAGAAATGCGCGAAAGTTGCGAAAAACGGCGAAGTTCGCGCCGTCCTGTCGCGAAAACGACGCGTTGGCCGCCATTTGCAATCGTGCACGCATGCTGCGAAGGCCGTATCCTTCATAATCCACTAGTAGCCAGTCTCGTGCCTTCACGCAGAATAAACAAAAAACGAGAAAAACAACGCGTACGGCACGCGTTTTGAATATCGCGGCACACAGCGCGAGCCCGCCATTGGACGGCGATGCGCTCCACGCTCCTCCCCCTCCTATCTTTCCGGCAAAAGAGCGAAGCCTCGGACGTCGCGATCGAGTTTTTCTGCGTTTCTCTGCATTTTTGCGTCATGGCAAGCCCGAAGAAGTGCAGTTCAGATAATCGAAAGTTCAGAACTCGCCACAAGTATCGAGGGAAACGGCGTTGGACGCTTCGCAAAGCGACAGCGAACGACGATGTCGCCCCCGACCAACGCCCCGACGCTCCGACTTCGGATAGGCCTAACACCGTCACCGAACCCTGCGACAGTGGTTGTGAAATAGCCGCTGCCGTGGAATTCGTCAGTGCATCCCAAAGGAAGATTGGATTCTTCGAGAGTGAACGTAGACCGGTAGATGCTGCTACTGCGAACATGCTGCTTTGCGAAATCGATGCGCTAACGGCACTTGTGGCGGGTGCGCAATGCCCAACCTGCCGCGAACGGAAGCTCGGCGTGCGAGAGGCAGCTGGAAAGCGCAAAGGACTTTCGGCATTCTTCGAACTGTGCTGTCAAAATTCTGATTGCCCTGAATCTGCACTTTCGTTCACGCACACGTCGAGACGTACTGCTTCAGCCGGGGACCAAGGAACGAGCGCTCGTTTTGACAGCGGCAGCTCGCGTGACAGCTTTGCTGTTAACGTGAAGGCAGTTCTGGCAGCACGCGCTATAGGCGCAGGCCACGACCACCTTTCACGATTTTGTGCGATTCTCGGTCTTCCGAGCCCGATGCATCACAAGACATTCAACGGCATTTGCAAGAAGCTCCATGGTGCGGCGATGACGGCAGTGAGCAAAAACTTGCACCAGGCACGAAACATCATGAAGGAAGCAGTCGGCGGCAGAGATGTGCCAGTCATGTTTGATGGCACCTGGCAGAAAAGAGGTCATAAAAGCCACAATGGAGTGGGCACAGTCGTGTCCCTGGACACGGGGCTTTGCCTCGATTTTGAAGTTCTTTCGAACTACTGCCATGCTTGCAGTATACACAGGGACCTTGGGGAGGATGAAGAGATATGGCGAGCTTTTCATCTTCCAGTTTGCCAAAAAAACACTGACTGCTCATCCCATGCAATGGAACCTGCGGCAGCTGTCAATATATGGCAGAGGACCTTGTCTTATGAAACTCCACTGCGATTCACCAGCTTCCTAAGTGATGGTGACAGCAAGGCCTACACTGCAGTCTGCGAGGCAAATGTATACTGTGACACCCCCATTGACAAAGAAGAGTGCACGAACCACGTCGAAAAGCGCTTGGGAACTGCCCTACGGAAATTGGCAACGCCACTGCCACGAGGCGAAAAACTGAAAGATGCGACAATAATAAAACTACAAACATATTACAAGATCGCCATCACGAGCAACAAGGACAGTGTCCGAAATATGTACACTGCCATATGGGCATCGTATTTCCATTGCTGCTCCAGTGTTGGTGCCTGTAGCCACAACTTTTGCCCCGCGGGACCAAATTCGTGGTGCAAGCACAAGCCTGCGGAAGCACTGGGGGAGCCTGCACCACGCCACACCCCACTGTTGTCGAAGGCTCAAGGATTGGCAATTATGCCTATCTACAAGCGCCTTACAGAGGAGAAAGCAGCCATATCTTGCTGTTCAGCCGAATTGCTGAACAGCAAGATATGGCTGCTATGTCCAAAAACAAAGTTCGCCTCCAGAACAACTGTGGAGACAGCCACCGCCCTTGCTGTACTCTGGTACAACAAAGGCCACAGGGGCTTTGAAGAAGTGCTCGAAGGCATTGGAATTCTCCCCTCACAAGATCTGGCCACACATGGTGACCACTGTGA